GCCCCGCGGCGCGGGGGGTCGGGGCTGCGGCGTTGGGTCTCGCGTCCCTTGGCGGATTGCGGTTTGCGCACGCGCAGGGCACGCAGACTGGCGGGCGGGCTTGCCGAGCTCCCGCGTCGCCGTGGAAACCACCCGCCCGCTCGCGCCTGCTCAAGATGGCGAAAGACCTGGATGCGCTCCTGGATGAAGTCGAGACCAAATTCTGCAACCCCGACCCCCTGAGGCTGGGCCTGGGCGAGCGGCCCTCCAGCGGCGACCGGAACAGAGCCGAGGCGAAGGAGGATCCCAGGTGAACGCGGGCGTGCGGGCGGACGGACGTGCTGGACCCAAAGCCGCCCGCCGCGGCGGAGCGGCCTGGCCGCAGGCTACCTCCCCTCCCCGCTCGGATCCCGCGCCTTGGCGAGCCCGAGGGAGCCCAGACCCCACCTGAGGGCCCTCACCCAACGGGGGATCCGGCAGCGTCCCTTCCCTAAGCCCCTCCGAGGGCCATGCTGCCACAGCCAAGCAGCCTTCCCCTCCCGGCTGCGGTGCCGGGACTGACGTCCTGCCTCACCCCGTTACCAGGCAACCCTAGGCCAGTTGTTAGGACACCATTCCATCTTATAGTTGTCTGATGTAAGCGCAAGGAGGAGTTAGAGAAGATTAGACTTGATTATTAAAGAAGTATCCATTGTAAATATCGGAATTAAATAGCCCAGTTCCCTGCCCATTGCCTATGGCACCAAGTTATGGGACCCAGCAAATGTCTGATATCCAGGTCGAAGTTTGAGGACACTTAAGTATTTGGTGTCTCAGCAAAAATAAATAATAAGCATCAGTGCATTATCCTTTCAAGTGAAGGCTTAGGATCGACAAGAACCCTTGCTAGAGTCTTCTGGAAATTTGTCACTTGCCTAGAACATTTGGGAAAGGCAAATGCCAGGCCCAGTGAAGGACCCACTTCTAGGAGATCATTGAGGAGAGAGAGAACAACCCCTTTGATAACGACCAAGAAGAGGTTGTCACCTTTGAGCTGGGCGAGATGCTACAAAAATAAATCTTCAAGTTAGTTTTTTTGTAACATGAATTTAACTGTCAGACAGTTAGTGTTCGTCTGTTGGGCCATCTGCTTTCAGCCAGGTTGTGCTCATGGACTTTGCACACTCATTTTGAGACCCCAGGTTCAAAGGAAAAAGCACAGAGTGTGCTTTGAAGTCCAAGGATGGGGGCAGTTGGGAAAAACGGACCTAAGTTAGCAAGTTGCTCTCTGCGCTGGATGGAGAAAGTCTCCTTGAGGTTTCTGTGAGATCGGCCCCTTGGTGGTTCTGTATCTGTTCCCTACCCTCTAATCCCCATCACATGTGCTTGTCCTGTGGTTTGGAGCTCTTGTTTAGTCGCACGCATGGAATACTACTACTGAGTAACCAGAACCAGATGCGAATTGTTGAGGTTAACATGAAAAAAATCTAAAGACACACGAAGCATGCAGTCGGTCCATCAGTGCAGAACTGGCTGGTAACTCCCGAGGATCAATGAACTTGGTGTTTGAGCTCATGTGAGCAGCTTCCCATCTGTGCATAGGTACAGTATTCTTAGCCTTAGTGGGCAGAGATGGGTTAGTGGTTTCAGCCATGTATGGCAGGTAGATTGTAAAGGACCAGGAGTGTGTCAGTGGTTGGAAACAGCAGTGCTAGTAGCTCGCTCTGTCGGTATGCTGGGGAAGTGGATCAGCCGTAGAGGGTTAGTGACCTGGCTGTCCCCTAGCAGTGCAAGCTGGGTCCTGGACACATCATTGTATTGAATGTTTTATGGTCTAGCCTTTTCAGTTGAGGCGCTTTTTGGGACAACCTTTGACCTCGTTTGAGGGTTCTGCTGTGAGGTTCTGTGTTTGTTTTGTGGGTATCTGCCTCATTCTATCCCTGTCTACTTGAAAGTCTATCCTGTCTACTTGAAAGACAGGCAGATTCCAAACTGAGGTCTTGGTGGCTAGAAGAATCGTTTACAGTAGTAATACCTCTTTGCACTAAAGGAAGGGGAGGATGTGGCCACCCTCAAAACACACAGAAGCTAAGTCACTAGAATCCCTTACTGGGATTTCACCTTTGCCTTTTGTTGCTGTTTCCCCAAATAACTTGAGATGCTTATATTTGTCCCTCAGCCTTGCTTCCCCCGGAACCCACCCATTTCTTCACTTAAGAAAAACAAGTCATTGTTGCAGAGGTCTCCGTATTTTGCAGCTGCCCTTTGTAAGAAGCACTTTTCCCACATACCAAATAAAACAATTTTAAAAAAAAAACAAAAGGAAATCTCGTGAGGCCATCTTTATAACCTGGGTTCAGTGGCGCAAACCTTTGATCGTAGGGGCAGAGGCAGACTGATCTCTGAGTTCCAGGCCATCCAGGGTTGCATAGTAAGACCCTGTCTCAAAACTAGAAAGTTAAAGACCTCATCCTCGACTGTGTCGTGTGCCTCTGAAAGATTAAGAAGAATTGGAACTGAGAGAGACCTGAATGTGGTGATTTGAGGAAAGAATTGCACTGTAGTCGAGATGTAGAGACAAAGCCAGAGATAGAACATTAGACCTGAAAGCAGTTGGAAAGATGCTGCTTCAATGGGTAAAGTATATGAAGTTCAGAGAAATCAAATGACTTCAACTAGCTCTATTAACGAATCAATCCCACACCAGTTATGTTTTAAGGGGTTATTTATTTGGCGGGGGTAAAACTTACATACACCATAAACCGTCAGGAAGGGAGCCTAGTCGCTGGAGCAGGAGCCGGGAGCAGCAGCCGAGACCGAGCACTGGAACCAAGAGCCGGAACCAAGAGGGCCTTATCCGGAACTGCTTCTCTTTTTAAAAGAGAAATATACCACGCCCCAGTGGGCTGGTATTTCAGCAGCTATTGGCTGACGGAGCGGAAGTCGCTCCCCGCTGCACTGTGGGCTCCTGCTTCAGTGATTATTGGTTGAGGCAGCGGAAGTTACTCCCACAACACCTCCCCCTTTTGTTTAAGTAAGAGAGTTCTAAGCCTACTACGAAATTATATACAGTAAGTACAAACCTACACAATTATATACAATAAATACAAATATCCTATTCTAACTAGCTTAAGTCTTGTATAAGAAATAACTTGGCCACGTCATAAAAGGAAAGTAACTACGTTTATATAATCTTCAATCCCATCAAAGATCTGAGAAGGGAAATAATGTTACCTAAGTAATTAGGAAGTGCAATCAAACTTCCAGAACATGTAACAAATCACAGAGACAACTGGCTACCTGGGCAAACACCCAAAATCACGTTTGCAGCGTTGAAGCAACCAACTTTGGCTAAGGCCTAACGTAACTGACATACCATTTTCAAAGGCAAGGAACTTTTCAAAACTGTCTTATCCTGTCTTGGCAGGATATGACAGTCCTGTTTTATCCATTTACGGATACTCTGTAACTCTGTCAGTAGTTGAGGTATGGGCATTTCTTTACCCAAAGGCCAGTTCTACCAAGAAGAAAGGCTCCAGGTGGAGTGTCTTTGGTGCTCAACATTCTCTCGGGAATAGATCAGTGTTGCCAGGAAGGATTGTGTCTCCCTACCACAGAACTCTGAGTTAGATTAAAGGCCATTTTCTACAGCTCTTTGAAGAGGTTGAAGATTATCTATCTATACTGAATATAATCTCTGTGTATCTAAAGAACCTGATTAGTCTAATTATAAATGACAAACTTAGATGACTATTGATCTATATTATTCTCAATATCTATCTAACTTAAAGACTGAAATAGTAAACAACTGTGCAATAAATGGGGACAATATGACCTCCAAATATAAACAATGTGCAAGTATACATTGCAATATGGTAAATATATATATCAATACATAAACAATATATAAGTATCTTAATCAGAGGTAGAAGTGTACAATGCAATATGGTAAAATATACATATATCAATACAATATATATATGTCAATACATAAAAATGTTTTGAACAGAGGTAGAAGCATGTATGCATAAAATAGTCAACATAATTTAACTTTGTATCAATATATAAGAATCAATACCAATATATTTGTCAAAAACAATAACTCACAAGTACAAAGCTATTATCCCATAATCCAATTATCCCTCTTTTTTTTTTTGATTCCTGCGCTTATAAAATTCCTCCCCCAACCCTCAACCCTATACTAATTATAACCAACCCCTAAATGATGTCCCTAAACCCAAGGACAAACTTTACTGGGAGAGGGGACGTCGTTCTCTAGAATTACTTCCAGCTGTCATGGGGGCGACGTTCTTTCTGGGGGATCCTGTGAAAGTAAAATGATGGTTAAATTTCAAGGTCAATGTCTTTTAAAATTGCAAATAGTCTCTGAGTATTTTGTGGAGGTCTGGCCAGAATGTTGTACAAGATGTGCATCATTTCAGCTAACCACGTTGGCATCGTCTTGTGCAGCTGGTACTCAAAACAGGTCTTGTAGTAGCGCTATCAGTATCATGATGTCATATCAACCAGGTGGAGTTGTTGTTATGGGGCCCCATCTTCTTCCTGGAAACTTCAAATGTCACTGCAGGAAAAACTTATTGTTCATTGTGGAAAACTTAAACATTAATCATATATATTAATCATATATATTAATCATATATTAATATCATATATTATATGATTATAATAATATATAATCATATATTAATCATATAGACATATACAGACATACATATATTCAATGAAAGACATGATAGATATATTCACTGAAAGGTTTGATAGATATGAAGAAAAGTAAAAATGTTTTCTAAACTCATATTTCTTTCTGTCCCATATCATGGCTCTTGACATGAGACAGAAACTCCAGAAATTCTGGGTTTTTCTTTTAACAACAGGCTTGGAATTAGAGAGGGACTGAGCCAGAGTCCAACTCTAAAACCAGCTCTATAAATTTAGAAATATGATTTAGTATATTTTACTTACAGAACCTATTCAGTTTTCTTGATAGTCCTTATTGTGCCATTATTTTCCATCTGTCAGTATTCAGATATCCAGGGTCCCTTGAACTTTTCAAAAATCAGTGTTTTCCTGTGGAGATAAGAACAGAACCCTGCCCCCATTCTATATGTTTTTCTTACCAACTGTATGAATATCATCATTGTGGATGAGCTGTCATTTCTCCTTTCCAAGAGGTTTCTCCTCTTCAAATCGAACCTTTATTAATTTTGATGGTATCCACAACTTTTCTTCTCCTGTGGAAACAAGAGCAAAACCCCTTCCCCAACGTAGCACATCTCCTGACCTCCATTGAGAGGTCAGCATGTCTTTGAA